AAATAGCCAATCATTGTAGAAATCAATCATCAGAACCAAAACTAACCCACGTTTAGCTGTTTAGAACCCATGATGAACAAATTTAAAGTCTCCGTTCTTAACTTCAGTTATCTATTTGATCTAAAACAGCAAAGGTATATATAATAATTTTTGCTACGGAAACTGTGACTCTGGATTGCATAAATATATTCTACAAAAAAGTATGAAGCATAACAAACCAGGGTTTTATAGACTGCAGAATAGCTAGGAATGAGAATCATAATCCTGACACACCAGACGTGCTTTTGATCTCTGTAATTTGCAAAGATGAAAAAATGGAACCTGCAAGAAAAACGAAAAAAAAATGTAGATCTCCGGGACTTGATTTATCCCGATTGTTGTATCCTGATTGAACTTATTTCATCAACTTTATCTATATTTATGTCAGTCTACTTAAACTGTTTTGATAAACTATTTCCAAGATGGTTGCACCTCTGTCATTTACATAGAAATACATTTCTGAAAATGTTTTAAAACGTGCAATGTTTTATGAATCATAAACATTTGATAAATTACTATCAGAAGCCATTTTAGCCCATTTTAGACCAGTCGAAAAAAATTAAGATTATGACTTAATTTTTCATGAAGAGGCTGAACACCCCCCCCCCCACTCCGCCCCTCACACCCACCCACCCCAGTGTCATGATCTGGCCTCATTTGTTTCTTTCTCTGTATCAGGGAAACTGATTATCTGTAAAATAATTTCAAAATAATTTTTTTTTAAATAGATCCGAATTCATTTCATTTTTTCCTGAATTAAACTTACTTTAATCTAATGAGTTTTTTCATAAAATCTACCAAACTGAAAATTATTTTCTATATAACTGTTAAAGATATGAAGCGAGAATTGTGAACATTCAGTGAGTTTTAGAGTTGAATACATGTAAGACTAATGTATCAGGAAATGTTTCCAAAATATATGTACTTTTAGGATACATAAAGTCTACAAAAATAAAGATGTGATATTCTTCTCGTCATGCATACTGTGTTGCAATGAAAGCATATCAAATGTTCAATTTTCATACTTTTTATACCCCTTAAATGAATTCTTGAAAAAATTCATTCATTTTATAGTTCACAGAAGATGAAGGCAAGCTATTGACAAACAAGTTGATGAAACAAGTATACCAACAGTCTCGTTTGAAGTCATCATTTGACAAGTTTTATGGTCGATACAATGACCTTGTCAGCACATACAACCTATCATTGAGTCAAATGGTGACTGACTTTTTATGCTAATTGTTAAGCCATTATTTATAAACTGAAGTGTCTACGGATTTTTCCGTTTTTTCCGATCATGACAAAGAATACAGGGCGGGTGGTGCTCAGTCCTCCATGGTACCTGATCATACCTCTAAATTTTGAGGTCCGTGTTTGCTCTGCTCCAAATTGTATTGTTCCATTGGACTTTCGAGATTGAATACTGTTCGTTATATTCATACTTCTTCTCAATATTCTCTGCAAACACTGCCTCCAACCATTCAATGTCTTAAAGTTTCTAGCATATGTTATTTTCATAATGGATAAAGAGAAGTCTGAACATTTTACATTTCAGAAAAACAAACACGAAACTGATAACTTAGTAAAGATAAAACTTAGTTTAAATTTGCTCGTGTGTTCTTGTGTGTTTGTGTGGGGTTTTTTTTTAAATTGTTTTGTGTGTGTGTGTGTGTGTGTCTTGTTTTTTCTTGTTTTTCTTTTTTTAATAATGAACTAAATAACTAGGGAATTGTTGCAAAAAGCCCTATCAGTACCTAATCTATATGTAATAATGTTCTACTTTTTTAGTAAAACTGGAAGAGGATGTTATATGTATGAAGCCTCCTTGTTCCAATAGTAGAAATAGCATCAGAGGAAGTAAAATAATTTACTTGTTCAACAAAAGCTACAATATTGACCAATTTTTATTCTTAAATGTTACTGTATCTAAAAACATACTTGAATTGAGGATCTAATCAGTACTTCACCTAATCTGTTTTTATTAATACTTAATATATAAATAGGGATGATTTATATTTCATGAGTCTTATAAAGCACAAGGACTCTTGTAAAAAAAAAATTATGACATGATTCAAGCGCAATAACTTTTTTTTTCTCTATAAGAGCCCTAAAGTAGCATACTTACCAGTGACGACAATTTCAGTTATCTTTATTTCCGTTGTACGAGGGCTGTTCAGCAAAGTCGTAGACACATGTTTTTATTTAAAAAAAAAAATAAGGCGTGCATTAAGCTGGCTTTCTCAGGAAATGTTTATATTTAGTTACATCTTTAAGAACATATTTCTCAATTGCTTCAAAGTAAAAGCAAAATACGCTCTCAATGATCACGGTTTTAGAAAAGTTGTTTTGTGATACATGTATACTTCCTTGATTGAACACCTATTGATTAAAATGAAAAAATCCAAGTTACCTAGATGGCGATCTCGTGATCGTGTTGTGTCAAAGCCTGAACAAAAAATATTATATTTAGCTTAAGTTAATTATGGTTTTCTGTAGTTAACTTGGTTAATAATAGTTTCAAAGCTATCACTACAGTAAATCAAATTTTTCAATGTTATCACTATAATGTCATAGTGATCACTATGGCTACATAGTTATCACTATTATTGGAAATCAAAGTTTTCAAAGCTATCACTACAGTAAATCAAATTTTTCAATGTTATCACTATAGAAAATCAAGAGTGTTCAAAGTTAACACTATAGTAAATCAGAGTGTCAAAGTTTTCACTATAGTAAGATTTATCAAAACTGTATATAATGTTCTGTGATAGATGTCTCAATTATTTTCATAACATGGATATTTTCCAGTTTTACAGATTTTCTCATTTTACGAAAGTTATCTGTTGATGTCGTATTTCAAATAATCCAGTTCACGTTGCGTGCAATACTTTTTATTATAAATTTTATTTTTAGTGATACTTTTTGAAACCTTGTGATTTTCATTGACTGCAACTAGCTGAACATTTCTAAAATGAATATTGTTTGTCTTTATTTTACTTGTTCTTTTTTATATCAGTAAATCACATAATATTAATAGCATTAAGTGCATCAAACTAGTATATAAAGTTATAGTCTTATATACAACGATATAATGTACATCAGATTGATAACCATAGTTAATCAGTTTTCATAGTGATTACTATGGTATTTCAAAGTTTTCATAGTTTTCACTATACTGTCCTACATAGTTATCACTACAGTAATTCAATGTTTTCAAGTTATCACTTTAGTAAATCTAAATATCAAAGTTATCACCATAGTAAATTATAACTAAATTTAGGGAATAACTATCTTCTAATTGGGTATTACTTTGGTATTTTTTTTTCTAAGGGAGGCGACAATGGCTGATCAGCTCTTTACCAGCTACAGAGTGTGTCATGGCTTGATGATACTTTACTTACAATGTTATGGTCATTAAAATTTGAACATTTTAAATCTTTCGTTTGGAAAATGCATTCCGTTTCGCCTACATGTTACAATAATATATTATCTACAAGCCAATGCACAGTCTGATTTGAAACTTTACTAAGCTTTTATGATATAAAATCTTGATCTTTATGTGCAAATAAAATAGCACTGTCATTAGCCTATAACATAAGTTTACAATCTGCGTCAACAATTGTTACCATGTTATTGACGTATATTAAAATTAATAAAGGGCCTAGACTGCTGCCCTGAGGTACACCGCATGTGAAAATACCAGTATCCTCTGAACATGCTGTTTTCTTTCGGACAAATGTGTTAAAAACCAATCAAAAGATTAAATACCAGTTGCTTTGAGTTTTCTTTACAAAGTGTATAATTTATCTTTAAAATGTATGAATTATCTTTTTCATTTCCTCCTTTTCTAGTTTACATTAGAAATTACTATAATTTGCTATGAACTATTTCATCATTGTAAACCATTGTCGATTCTTAACATTTGTAATCTTGACCTTCTTGAAGAGGACTTACATAGGTCATGCATGATGTCCAATCCAATCATGTAATTTGACTTTACGTAATAAAATACTGATTAAATAAAATGAAATTAAATCGATCGATATATATTTATATATTATTATATATCGATCTATGTTTGATATATATATATATATATATATACTTAAATAAATGAAAACAGAATGCTACAGTCCAAATTAAATAAAATCTTTACTGTTAGCGCTTTCAGCCATGTTGGCTCTTCAGACAGTTATGAAAGTTCAAAACGTTGCCAATAACGTTGCTAATGACGTCGTAAAAATCTTAGGTATTATGACGTCACAATGAAGTTTGTGGTAGCGGCTACATGAACTTTTTCAACGCAGTTAAAATACAATGTATAATTAAAGCATAGAAATAATATAAAATCTGTGAACACATAATCTATCATTTGCGATTTAGTTTTGGATTAAACAGTCTTATAAAATAGTCCTCTTTGGTTACACGGGCGCTTTCATCCGATGTCCACATTTTGTAGAACGGGAAAATCTTAAATTTTCCTTTACCACAATCAGCAAAATGTTCTGAACATGGGGTGCATCTGACAGTTTCGTCCCTTATATGTTGTTTGTGAACCCTAACTCGTGCGTTGAGTTGATTTGTCTGCCCTATATAATGTTCTCCACAGGTATGGCATATTGCACAGTAAATCAAATTTGAAGATTTACAATTCATACTGGTATTTGTTTTTAAAATTTTCCCGTTTTTAAGTGTAATATGTTCGCCCTCCTGAATGAAATCACACGTTCCACATCGGGGGTCACCACACTTTTTGACGACTCTCTGGTTGCTAGAGGAAAATTTCGCTTTGGTTAAAATCCGCCTCAGGTTTGGTGCTTGTCTTCTGCTGTTAATTATTGACGATTTGTCCAGAAGATTTTTCATGTTTTCAGATTGTTCTAATATTGGAAAAAATCGTTTCGCTGAATTTAGAATATTGTGGTTACGTGGGTTATGAGTTACCACAAATGGGATGTTCTCTACGTCGTTTTCCTCTGGATGGCGACTTTTCTTAATTTGGTTATTGGTATGTCTTTTGCCCGGTTGATTCCGTCCTCAATAAGGTTTATTGGATAGTTTTGTCGCCTCAGGTGTTGTTTTAATTCTTGGAGTCTTTTCAAGCGTAGAGTAGGCTCGGTCACAATGGTACAAATACGTCTGGCCATATTGTATGGAATGTTCCTTTTTGTATGTGACGGATGGCAGGAACGAAAGTCCAAGTATTGGTGAGTATCTGTTTCTTTACAGAATAGATCTGTAGAAATATCTTCTCCGTTTTTTATTATGAGTATATCTAGAAAAGGAAGTGAATCACGATTCATGTCATTTGTGAAATTTATTGAATCGTGTAATTCATTAAAGACCGAATGGAATTTTCTAAGATCCTCTTCACTCCTTGTCCAAAAGATGAAGCAATCATCCAAGTACCTTTTCCAATTCTCTTTAATGTACTGCGTAAAGTCCAGATCAAAGGTTTCCGGTAAAATAGTGTAAAGTTTTTCTTCTAGAAATCCCATAACTAAACAAGCATATGTAGGGGCGACTTTGGTGCCCATGGCAGTACCTTTGATTTGTAGATAATTTTCGTCATCAAAAAGAAAATTATTATTCTCTAGTACAATTCTAAGTCCTTCTAAGATGACGTTTGCGGGAAATCTATCGTCGATTTCTTCCGGATATTTATCCAACCAATATTTGATTGCCTCAATTCCTAAATCATGCGTAATATTAGTATATAAGCTGGTAACATCAAAACTAACAAGCAGTGTATCTCTTGGTACTGTTTGTGGAATATAATTAAGGAAATCCATATCATCACGAACATAACTGGTCACTTTGGTGCACAGTGGTTTTAAGATTATATCTAGCAGATTACTTAATCTTTGTGTACTAGATGTAGGTCCTGCAATGATGGGCCTCAGTTTAAGATCATTTGGTCTAGGAAGTTTTATGTACGTAGAATTACATTTCTTGACATTTTTCTGGATTTCTTTACATTTGTGTATTTTGGGAAGACCATAAAAATGGCTAGTTTTAACTTCAAAGTTCGTAAGGTATTCAATTTCGTTTTTCGTGAGGTTACTTTGAAACTTCTTTGTGAGGTTTGTTATTTTAAGCATAGATTGCCGATCCTGATTTTGCTCTAGTTTCTTATAGAACTGATTATCCTGGAGTTGAGATAGGGACATTTCTTTATAGTGTTCTCTGTCCATAATTACTATAGCTCCTCCTTTATCGGCGCTTTTGATAACAATTGTTTGGTCTCTTATAAGATTTTGCATTGCTTGATATTGATTATGAGGAATATTTGATGTTACCTTTTTATCCGCTATGTTGGATTGAGCTGCCTTTCTAAGACATGAGATATAATCCTCCAAACGTTTATCTCTATTAAGCGGTGGCTTAAAACCCTTCTTATTTTTAACTAGAGATATATCATCATTGGTTTGATTTTGAAAAAATTCCTTCAAGCGTAATTTTCGGCAGAATTCTTCTGTGTCCGTGACGACATCAACCTTATCAGACTTCGGCGTAGGCGTGAATTTTAAACCATGTTCTAAAAGTTTTATTTCATCACTATTTAAGTCTCTTTGTGATAGGTTGATAATTTTCGGTTCTGTAGAAACTATGTTCTCTGTGTTTTCAGGACAGTTAATAAAGCAAACCATAAAAACTCTTGGAGAAACTCAACACAAGAGACATATCAAAATGCTAGGAATTCTTCCTTTAAACAGAGGACAACTCAGAAAAACATAAGGAATAAGTCACTACAGAATTCCAGGAATTCTTTTTTAGGACAGGGTTGGACTCAAACGAAACGAAAGAAATAATTAACTGTCCTGAAAACACAGAGAACATAGTTTCTACAGAACCGAAAATTATCAACCTATCACAAAGAGACTTAAATAGTGATGAAATAAAACTTTTAGAACATGGTTTAAAATTCACGCCTACGCCGAAGTCTGATAAGGTTGATGTCGTCACGGACACAGAAGAATTCTGCCGAAAATTACGCTTGAAGGAATTTTTTCAAAATCAAACCAATGATGATATATCTCTAGTTAAAAATAAGAAGGGTTTTAAGCCACCGCTTAATAGAGATAAACGTTTGGAGGATTATATCTCATGTCTTAGAAAGGCAGCTCAATCCAACATAGCGGATAAAAAGGTAACATCAAATATTCCTCATAATCAATATCAAGCAATGCAAAATCTTATAAGAGACCAAACAATTGTTATCAAAAGCGCCGATAAAGGAGGAGCTATAGTAATTATGGACAGAGAACACTATAAAGAAATGTCCCTATCTCAACTCCAGGATAATCAGTTCTATAAGAAACTAGAGCAAAATCAGGATCGGCAATCTATGCTTAAAATAACAAACCTCACAAAGAAGTTTCAAAGTAACCTCACGAAAAACGAAATTGAATACCTTACGAACTTTGAAGTTAAAACTAGCCATTTTTATGGTCTTCCCAAAATACACAAATGTAAAGAAATCCAGAAAAATGTCAAGAAATGTAATTCTACGTACATAAAACTTCCTAGACCAAATGATCTTAAACTGAGGCCCATCATTGCAGGACCTACATCTAGTACACAAAGATTAAGTAATCTGCTAGATATAATCTTAAAACCACTGTGCACCAAAGTGACCAGTTATGTTCGTGATGATATGGATTTCCTTAATTATATTCCACAAACAGTACCAAGAGATACACTGCTTGTTAGTTTTGATGTTACCAGCTTATATACTAATATTACGCATGATTTAGGAATTGAGGCAATCAAATATTGGTTGGATAAATATCCGGAAGAAATCGACGATAGATTTCCCGCAAACGTCATCTTAGAAGGACTTAGAATTGTACTAGAGAATAATAATTTTCTTTTTGATGACGAAAATTATCTACAAATCAAAGGTACTGCCATGGGCACCAAAGTCGCCCCTACATATGCTTGTTTAGTTATGGGATTTCTAGAAGAAAAACTTTACACTATTTTACCGGAAACCTTTGATCTGGACTTTACGCAGTACATTAAAGAGAATTGGAAAAGGTACTTGGATGATTGCTTCATCTTTTGGACAAGGAGTGAAGAGGATCTTAAAAAATTCCATTCGGTCATTAATGAATTACACGATTCAATAAATTTCACAAATGACATGAATCGTGATTCACTTCCTTTTCTAGATATACTCATAATAAAAAACGGAGAAGATATTTCTACAGACCTATTCTGTGAAGAAACAGATACTCACCAATACTTGGACTTTCGTTCCTGCCATCCGTCACATACAAAAAGGAACATTCCATACAATATGGCCAGACGTATTTGTACCATTGTGACCGAGCCTACTCTACGCTTGAAAAGACTCCAAGAATTAAAACAACACCTGAGGCGACAAAACTATCCAATAAACCTTATTGAGGACGGAATCAACCGGGCAAAAGACATACCAATAACCAAATTAAGAAAAAGTCGCCATCCAGAGGAAAACGACGTAGAGAACATCCCATTTGTGATTACTCATAACCCACGTAACCACAATATTCTAAATTCAGCGAAACGATTTTTTCCAATATTAGAACAATCTGAAAACATGAAAAATCTTCTGGACAAATCGTCAATAATTAACAGCAGAAGACAAGCACCAAACCTGAGGCGGATTTTAACCAAAGCGAAATTTTCCTCTAGCAACCAGAGAGTCGTCAAAAAGTGTGGTGACCCCCGATGTGGAACGTGTGATTTCATTCAGGAGGGCGAACATATTACACTTAAAAACGGGAAAATTTTAAAAACAAATACCAGTATGAATTGTAAATCTTCAAATTTGATTTACTGTGCAATATGCCATACCTGTGGAGAACATTATATAGGGCAGACAAATCAACTCAACGCACGAGTTAGGGTTCACAAACAACATATAAGGGACGAAACTGTCAGATGCACCCCATGTTCAGAACATTTTGCTGATTGTGGTAAAGGAAAATTTAAGATTTTCCCGTTCTACAAAATGTGGACATCGGATGAAAGCGCCCGTGTAACCAAAGAGGACTATTTTATAAGACTGTTTAATCCAAAACTAAATCGCAAATGATAGATTATGTGTTCACAGATTTTATATTATTTCTATGCTTTAATTATACATTGTATTTTAACTGCGTTGAAAAAGTTCATGTAGCCGCCACCACAAACTTCATTGTGACGTCATAATACCTAAGATTTTTACGACGTCATTAGCAACGTTATTGGCAACGTTTTGAACTTTTCATAACTGTCTGAAGAGCCAACATGGCTGAAAGCGCTAACAGTAAAGATTTTATTTAATTTGGACTGTAGCATTCTGTTTTCATTTATTTAAGTATTTTTTACTGTACCAAGAATTTAACTTATCAACGTATATATCTATATATATATATATATATATATATATATATATATATATATATATATATATATATATATATATATATATATATATATATATATATATATATATATATATATATATATGAATGTATGTATGTATGCAGGTATATATATATATATATATATATATATAGAGAGAGAGAGAGAGAGAGAGAGAGAGAGAGAGAGAGAGAGAGAGAGAGAGTTATACTTTTGTAAAGCATGTACAATCTATTATTAATTATTATATATATATATACATGTAAAGCATCTTGTACAATATATTGCCTTAATATATATATTTTCTTCATTTTCTGTAAATGCTATCTTGTTATATGAAATATTTATCCTTTTTCTGAAGAGTTTTCAATGTTACAATTCAATTACTTGAAAGATTAGCGTTAAATGTGGCACCTCTATTCCATTATTATTTGGAATGTAGAAATTAAACAAAATATTGATATTATATTGGTATTGGTATTCGATGTAATTATACCAAAAATTACTGGTATCAAAATGTCTTTTCAAGAACAAAATAATTGTCTTGTTGAGCATTCTCCTCTTTTTTGTCTTGACTTCCTTTGTACGTCTAATGCAGTTTTTTCGCCATTCTTGGAAACATTTCCTTTCTGTTGAACTGCAAGAATGCTTCGTGGATCGTCATAATTTCCACATCCGGACTCTTCATGCTTTTCAAATATATGATTGTTTACACCTCCTTCATCATGTTGGTCAAATTTAGCGTCCTTTGGAGCGGATCTTGGTTCAACGAAGTTGTACGTTTTATCTGACTAATAAGGTAAAGCAATGCAAACATTATTATTATTATTTGAAAATTGTCCTTTGCTTAAACTCATAGTTTCTTAACTATTTTTTAAAAACATATGAATTAAAAGGAATTGATATATAAATGCATCAGAAATACTGATAATAAATACATGTACTTATTTTAAATAAATACCATTTCAGTTTCGGGTGTTCTTGCTATCCCTCCCGTGATAATTTTTAGATGATCATATGTTCCCTCTTTCGAAACAGACTGCAGTGTTTTTTCATTAACTTCAGGACTTTTCTATGGAGGTTTATCCCTGAATCAAAACAGATACAAGAAATCTACCGTACAGTTTAGGCATAAAATTATAGGCATTGTTCAACCAGTGGGTAACTTCCTAGAAGACATTAGAGCTTTAGAATTGAGAAGTAACTGAACATGCAATATTCAAACCAAAGGGGAAAACTTTGAGCTAAAATACTAATACGAAGATAATGAGTATATACGTTATTCTAACTAAGTTTATGATAAAATAAATGCGGACCAACAATAAGCAGTCCAGCTTTTCTCATGAATGTACCTGTTATCCTGCCTTGATCTTCTTTTTTGAATAAGGAACAAGATAAAAAATGCTATCAAAACACCAATGATTACACCAGAAATACCAGCTCCTACTGCAGCACCTAGTACGTTTCCATCTTAAGAGAAAATACATAAATAAAAGAATTAAAGACATAAATACAATTTAGTGCATGATCTAAACAATTTATATTATGAAATGCATTCTGTATGGATTACTCAAATCAAAGTGCAGAGAGTACTTTAAGAACCGGGTTTTATTATTTGAGTACATTGTGTGGGATTCAAATAAATATATATAAAGTGTACAATGTAATAGACATTTTTACATTTGTTTTCAATTAGTGCATATGATTTAAACATTTTGTTAACTTTGGAAAAGCAGGTTTAACTTAACATACAGTAGACAAAATCAATAATCTCAAACACAGGCCCGTTTTACATATTGAAGAATCCAAGTACGGACGCTTTAGATCCTTCTAATAGTTCCAAAACCTTGGGGGCGGGGGACTCAGTAAGGTTTAATTCGAATGTGAGGCAAACCAAATTGTTTACTGATGTAAGATAAATATGAATAAAAATGTCATATACGAGGGTTGTTAGAAAAGTTCGCGGATAAGTTCTATTGTGAGCGCGCTATTTCCACGAAACCGGTTAAACTCTCCAGATAAAAACTTTACCTATTTTCCAACAAATATACAAAGATTTGTTGTTTTCCGGTGATCCTTAAAAAATATACAGCTATATTATTTTGATAAAACATGCTTCACGGAGCATGCTACTTTTTCGCACGTATACATTACATAGACTTTTTATTGAAATTAAAAATTGCACAGTTGTAGCGCAGAAAGAATTATGATATTTTACCTGTCGCTACAGTATTAATAAAACGTCACTTGCCGAAATTTTGAATTAAATTGGAGGTTGTATGACTGTTTTATAGCCATTTACAAATAATCAACGCGTAAAAACAAAGCCAAGAATGGGAACGTCATTGAACGTCATGGAGCACCGAGCTACTAAAAAATTATATTTGCAGACAGGAAAATGTCTAAAAATAGACTAAAATGCTTCTAGATGTTGCTGAAAATTGCCTACATGTACAAAGGACAAAAGTATTCAAATGGTAGTAGCTTTTTAAGAATGGAAGTATTAACATTTTTAATGATCAACTCCATCGATACCTCAATACCCAACTTATCGCATGGACGTTGCCGCCTATGGATTTTGCATTGTTTCCATATCTGATCTCTTAACTGCGTGGACATTTATTTTAAGATCTCACTAATATCCGAAACAGCACAAAAGACTTTATAGAAGAAAAGTAACATGTCTTGATATAGATATTTAATTTTTAAGTAGAAAAAAGACGAGAAAAGTCGAAAGAAATGAAAGATATTTAGAACTATGAAAAAGCTTAATGGGTTTGAAATCTGTTTGTCACGTCACTTAACGTCAAGTGATTGCTCCGTGAATCCTATGACCGCATAGTAAAAATTGTTGTAAATTTTCAACATTTTAGTAAATGGACCTGATTTTTCACATACTATTAAACAAAAGATAGGAATTTAATCAGACATAAGTCATACTTCACAGTACACAATAGATTTTCCGAAAATCAATGTGTCCGCGAACTTTTTTAACAACCCTCGTATATTTGGTCGTTTGAATGGCCGAAATCAGTTATGACTACACCGTATTGTCCCATCACTTTCACTATGCCATATTGACGGTTTGTAGGGTTCCCAACATTTTTGTGTGGTCGTTGCAACCATTCAGTTTATGGTAAATTACAACACAAAATTGTTTCAACGAAAATTCAAAAATATTTGCTTATGTTGATGTCTCTGTCAGAAAAGAAATTAATTTGTTTCGATGAACTTTATTTTTATCAAACCACATAATAAGGTAAAAAGAAAAATATATGGAACTTGACTGTTAAGAAATAATGACTGGGGTTGGAGGCGATGTTGATTATGTTATCTCCCAAGGGATGAAATATTAACCAACAGAGAGAGAGAGGGGGGCTGTGACATTATGTCAGAATAAATGAACTTATTAATTAAAATCAACATAAATAATATTGAAGAAAATCTCATTTTGCCTGTCAATGATATTAATTAAATGACTGTAAAGATTTGTCGAAGAAGCTTATACATATATTGATTTTGTTGACTGTTTCTCTGTACAGAGGCATTGGAGACTATATTCCTTACTAAAAACAACAATGCATTATAACTTTTGAAAAAGATTTAGAAATCTATGAAGCCTTATGATGTAAAGTTTAAAGAACATAGCAAGAGTCTTTTTTACACAATTAAAATTTACTTATTAGATTTCAATGGAACGAAATATTTAAAAAATGCCAATGCATTTCTTCTGTCTGGGAAATAATAAGATTTGTATGTGGTTGAATTTTAAATCATGGGCTTTATTTTATTTATAAATCTTAAAGAAGAATCATCACGCTGGATAAAATTATTTTTCCTACCTTTGATAGATCCAGTTTGTTCTTTGATTCCTTCAAAGGAAGTTTAATAAGTTATAAATATATATTTAACATTATTAAAAAAAATTATTAAAAGAAAAATCAAACATGTCCTTGTATATCAAATCGTTTTAATGCCTCAATGCAATATATGTAAAATATTATATAATAAAAGCATGATCCATAACTACTTACTTTCACAGTGGTCATCCATTTTGATAAATCCAGATTCACATGAACATGTTTCATTAGCACAAATGTAAGCATTTCTGGTTTCTGTACATTGTAAAGATATTCTGCATTTCTTTCCGAGTGTTAACCCACCTTTACTTTGTTCTGATAGTCTATAGTTTTCGATATCACCTTTTGTGGTGTAAGAGTCACGTTAGTGTCTAGCATCATTGATTTCTTGTGTTATCCATTTAGGTCGGATTTCACTCTTAACTCGTTTGGTTTTAAATTGTGAATGCTGGTTAAAAACACTATTGAATAATTCATAGAATTTAGTTAGCATTAGCATTTGGGTCATGCATCTGGAGGAGATTGTTAAAGTGTACAACTTTTAAGTTAAATTCCTTTTTGATGCATGCATTTTGTTTTTATAGTGGAACCTATGGGGTAGTGATAAGAAATAGCTATAAAAGTTACATTAATTCCACACGTTATCTGGTTTATTAGTCAGCGTGATCTAATGAGGTACTTGAGGTATTAGTTTTTTCTGGTTGGTGCTGTAATTAAATGTGAAAAACCGAACTCTTCTAGAGCATATGTCCAACTTTAGGGGTTCTTTGAATAAGTCTATATTGAAATCACCTGTTATGATAATTTCTGCATTGTCACAGCAGGAGTC